ACAGTGCTGTCAAAAAGCCTGCACTATTTAGGGACTGACAACTACTCCAGTAATTTAGCATGCTAAATAAAATATTTTAAAAGTTCCTTTTTACAGGTAAGTCTAGCATGGTCAAGATTATTTTATCATGTTCAGGTTACAGTCCTCAGGCTAATGCACTCTTAGACAATGTGGCACCTACCTACCAGGCAGTTAACAAAAAAGCACAAGCATAATGCAAAATTTGAGGTTTAGCCAGATTAGTTCTCAGAATATCAGAGCCATAAGAAATCTGCGCTCTGCTTCTTCAGACACTGCACAACAATTTGAGTACAAGAGCACTATGAAAAATTCTTTCTCTGGGGAAAAAAAGCTTGGAAAATATTTTCAGGTTTCTATATTAGGGGTATGGGGGAAGAATCCTTTAAAATTATTTGGTTTAACTAGGAAAAGAACTTTTACAAGTATCATTCCAAACTGAAACTGATTTATAGCAAAATGAAATTACCAGATATCTCCACATACCATCCTTACTCAACAGGATAAACACCTCCAACTGCGCACAGTCACAGTGCTCTAATTTATCAACATTTATTCTTAAAAAAAAATAAAAATCTAGTCAGGTTCCCACAAACACAGTAGGAAAAATTAAAGTACATTTCAAGATAGTATTCCAAAAAGGTTTTCCAAGCATTAGAAAAGTTGACATAATTCCAAGTGTCTGTTCCCAGCTACACATCCAAGTACCTGCTACCATTAAATCTCAACTACCCTACCCTAGAGCATCACCTAGAAAACCATTTTATCTCAGCCCAGCTAAACGCCTACATAAACTTCATTCTCTCAACAACTTTCATTCTAAAAGGTTCAGAATTTTTTGGGTAACTCCTACATTAATATTAATGCTTCTGTTGGCATCTCTCAAGTTAGACAAGTCATCATTAAATGCAGCATTTGAACAATAGCTTTAGGTATGCCATTCTACACTTCAAAAGAAGAAATTTAAGACACGAAGGAGACCCTACCAATGCTGAAAGCCCTAGAATGTTGTAACAAAGACAGCAGCTGGATTACAATAATAAACCTTAACTATGCATATCATACGAGCACACGGCAATTAATTGCTAGTTATTTGATACTAATAATACTAGGTTGTAGGTATTACAGAAATAATTCAGTTTAATAGTGTGTTTAAAAACCCACAGTTCAGATTAAGCAGTATGACCCACCTGCATTATGTTGATGCTCAACAAAAATTTATCAAAGGAGCACTGATCTTACAGACTGTAACTGCACCACAGCACTGCGATGCTCAAACTAGACTGGGTTCTAGAAGCAGTCTAGCCAAAGAAGCAGAGTTACTAATGGCCTAAATTATTTTGTACAACTTAATGCACACATGCCCACATTCTTTCAGGAAGAATTTCACTCATAAAATGACGCAATCAAGAATTTCAGAATTACCAGAACTCTTAGTGAAGCTGAAGACCCCACAAGAGAACATGCTGCGGCGATGGCCGCACATGCAGTCACTAGTAAATACCGAGCCTCAAGCATAAGGTGTCCATGTTCTAACTTCTCTCAGTCTAAAACTTCAAATGCTACTAGATTAAGCAGTTTTCTTTCAAAATCAGCATTTGTGAGTATTTGTCAAAGCAGAAGAAAGCAACAAATAATGTATTGCTTAAAGCCTCATTTACAGCAGTACAATAACATTTTCCTTAAAGAACCTGCAACAAGTACCACATGGAAACCAAAAGATCCAAAACCTTAAAGCAGTATCATCTAGGCTTTCAGGATGTAAACTTCAGTGATCTACTCGCAGCTGTTAAGTTATGCATATTGCCTAAATCATCACTGATTTTAAAGGAATCTTATTTTTTTTAAAACCTTTTCTCACTGTGTCATAATGATAGCATGCTGACAGCATCATTTTGGCATTCCTTTGCTTTTTAGGACATAATTTTACTGCCTATTCTCATCATCTGTTTATTTTTGGCTTCATTTTTCTAAATACTGGAGCTGCCCTATCAGTTTCACAGGCTTATAAATGTTATACATCAAAAATTAGTTTCACTTATTAAGGCAGGAAACAGCTTTAAGAACTCTGGGATCTGTGCCTCAAAGCAAAAGCTTTATCAGCAGGTTCCAGTCACTGCTTCTTGCAAAAGAAAATGGTGCCGATTAAAACCCCATACACCTGATTTCAAAAAGAACACCTACCCACTGAACATTTTTCACATGGCTGCAAGGTGGGCTGTACCCCTAACTGAAGGCAGCTGTTTCTCATACACTGCCTGCCCCCAACCCTGCAACATTGCTCAAGAAAAATGAAAACTATACATAAAAAGATGAAGTTGAGATAAAAGAACAATAATTCATCCACTTATTTCTCTAGACTTCAGGAGTGGTGTACTTCAATACAGTCATAGTATAGTTCCATGCCTGACTTCCTCAGTGTTGTGTTGCATTTGGAAGTTAAGAGGGATAGAAATAGCCACACACTTGAAAAATTAACTCACTTCTAAGGAGTATTATGTAAAATGAGTTGTAAAAGGGACATTTCTTTAAATGGCTAAGAGAAGGAAAAGTAGCGATTGAATCAATACTATACAATATGAAAGTAGTATTTTATTAATTGTACTTGTACACAAAATGATTTTTGAATCAGCCTCTTCCATAATCAAATCTTTTTCTATAGTTCTCCACTGAATCAAATCAGACACTGTTAGAATGATTTCCTTAGAATAAAAAATAATTTAAAAGATCTTTTTTTTTTTTTTTAAATACAGCTTCTTAAAATCACATACACAGAAAAAGGAATCTTGCAGTGGGTTAGGTAAGCACATCTTTATAACAGTAGAGAACCCCAGTGAATTCACATGGATTCTGCCTCGACAGAACTCCTCAAGAGATCAAACCAGAGTCATTTGAGTTTTCCTTCTTTCAACATACTATTTATTCAGATAAAGCCACTTAACCAAAACCAAGTCAAGGCTGTGAATACTAATAGCGTTTCAAGCATTTTGTTTTCAGAATTACAACATGCTAATATTTGAAAGTCAACAATTTGGAGCTAATGTTCCACAAATAATAATACATTGCTGTAGCACCTGGGATATGCTAGATGTTGTACAATCCCATGGCTACTGAAATCAGATAACAGTTTTTCATAAATATTACAAAACCTTAAAACTTCTTACATTAATTTGTTTTTACAGTCAAACAATTTGCACTAGAACCTCAGTATGTTTTATTGATTACGATACTCTAACCACTTTAGAGTAATGGGATAATGACATTTGTGAAGGAGAACAGCAAGTGTTTTTCATGTTGTACACATGAAAGGTAATGTAACAGTATTCCAGTAAGAAGCTGGTCAGACTTAAAAGGAACATTAGGACACGTTCCTGTCACCGTCAAGAGCTGTTATCTTTGTGGATTGAAGTTTTGTGATCACTGGTGAAAAGGCAGAGAAGAGTTTAGTCATTAGAAACTGCCCTGAGTGACTAAATGCAAGAGCTTAATGATTGTGTAGGAACATGCAGCGAGGAACAGTTAGTTTTACCTAGCCTTACTTCGAGAGCCTTAAGAACTGTACTCCCCATTCAAAAGCCATCTGTTTTGAAATCCATCACAATATTATATTGCATTACGCAGATTTAAATCTGCAATTTTACATTAAAGCTTAGCTTGAAACCCTGTACTTGGGAAACATTTTAAATATTCGTATGAGAATGAGAAGTATTCAGAATTTGTCTTTCCTTTCTTGATCCTTTTCTAACACATTTGAATTTTGCTAGTATATACAGGGGACAGAAAATTCCCCATTATCTCTGTGAAGATGGAAGAATATGCAAGATAGAGGAATGAAAGCAAAAACTATATAATTAATTTCTAATATAAATCTAGAACATCCATAGTTTAAATTATATAAATCAGATGACTTAAAAATTACAGCTTCTCCACTCACCTCAAAGGAGTACTTAGTTATTTTTTCTTACCTAGCTTCAAAACTATTCCAAATATCTTTTTATCCTAATTTTCTTCCTTTGCATTTTCTCCCCTGCATACAAGTAGCAGTGGGTGCAAGAGTCTTCGTGGACTTCAATCATGTACTTTAGCTGCTACCACCTACCATGCATGCACCAATTTAAATATTTGTTACATGAAATTATAATTACCAGAGGTATCCGATAGACTCCTTACCAGTTTAAGTATTCACTCAGTGCTACATACAAATGTAAAGGGTCCAATTTTTGCAGCAAAGAGCAGCATAGCCTTCAGAAAATTACCCAGATAGGCACCAACTAACAAGAAACATCTTGAAAAAAATGAGTTTCTCTCACCTGGATTTTTTTTTTTTTTTTTTAAATATGCATTGAGACAAGGACAAACAAAAAAATACTCATTCTTTCTATAAATATCATTCTAAGGCTAAAGAAGTACGTTTGACATCCATCTACTCCCATTCTTCTTCAGAATTCTTCTAGCCATCAACTCCTGATCACATGAATAAACAGGAAAAAAAGCAGTGGCGCACAACTTTGGGTACATCTGTTCTTATTTGAGCATGTCTTGATCTAAGCTTGTTAAATCTCTACCTTTTTCAGGCTTCCCAAGCTTATTGTGGGGAGAATGCAAAGAAAAAGCTGAGGCAGTGTGAACCGACAGATAAGGAACATCCTACTCCTCTTTTCCTGGCTTGTAGCATGTAGAAAAATCAAGAGCTCAATACAGATGACTAGTTACTGACTCCTCTGACTTGTGGAGTTGGCACGAAGGCTTAAAGCAAGGTTACTTAGGATCATTCATGGTGTATTTTCAACTCTTATACATAGCTACAGCTGTCCAAGCATTACTAGATCAGCAGCAAAAGCCTTCAATCACTGACAGAAATCTGCTTAGGAAATAGGAAAGATGTCCCAAACAATCTTCAATGCTATTTTAGTTATGACACTTTTTGTACAGATGTACAAAACTAAATGTTTCCTCAGAGCTTTTGTTAATAGCCCACTTACCTCACGAATGGCTAATCTATCACTCAGCTCCTCAGCCTTATCAATGTCACCTTCAGCCACAGACTTCTCTATGCTAAGTTCAAGGCCAGACTAGAAAAAGAGAAGCAAATATCTTTAGGACAAATAAAGAAATAGTATGTTTAAAGGGAGCATCTCCTTTCTAAAAATATTTCTTTCATAAAATTTTTTAAGACAGTGCATAAACCTGTAATTTCTATGTAACACAAATCACTTTGTCTATGTATTGTAACGGACAGTATAATTAAGAATTCACTGAAAGGCTGCCTGAGCACAAATCATTGCATTAGTTCCACCTTATGTGCAGGATAATACTGTAGGTTAAAAAAATTACACGGACTAGTTTATGCCTGTCACAATAAAATTTCATCTGAAGATCTGTCTTATCTCTTCCATCCCTGGAGCTTTCTAAACAAAATGTGAAATATATGTGTCAGGTAACATGAAGAATGGCAATTACCACTGTATCGTTACAGTTCTAAGATCTTATCTCTATCCAAAAACTGAGTTCTGGCATGGTGCCACTCCACTGTGCTAATAAATTAAAAATTCTAGCAGCCCTATGGAAAACAATTAAAAGCTTCAGAATTTAACCTCTGAAAATATGAAATAACCTTTATGATCAGCATAAAATAACTTGTTTAACAACAACATTTACAAATAATTTAACAATAGAAGGTAAGTATTTAATGGAAATTACAGTAGAAATCTTCTGAAGGAATTCAGAAGTGTAGCAGAGTAATAGGCACTGACTTGAAAATTTCACAAAAAGTTGTGCTCTCATAAAAGACAATTTACAGCCTCACTGGTTTTAAATATTAGTGATGCTAAAGAAAACACATTTGACAGTTTCATAATATATACCTTTTTAAAAGATAAAAGCAAAAAAGCAAACAGTGAGAAACAGTGATCTGCAAATACTGCACTTGAATTATTCAGGTGGAAGTTGAAAAAAAATGCACAATTGGAACCTGCAGTGATAGCCAATTCTGTTAGATGTCTTTTCTGAAATTATTGAGACATACATTATACTAGTGATAAAATCTCTGAACTTAGATGGAGAGCATCTGATTTTAAAACTTTGGGCCTCATTCCGGATCTATCCTGAGCAGTTTAATGACAACTTAACACCCATCAAAAGTAAGAACTCAGACAGAAGGGAACAACACCTCATGACTTGCATGCAGAAAATTACTTTAAGCAAATAAAAATACAAAATTTATCATAAAGGAAGCTAACTGAACACCTGAGGTCATAGAACTTAATACAGGCCTTCACTAGAAAACTATAGAACAAACTGCTATGGCGAACTCACAATGTAACAAGCTTCTTAACTTGTCCATCATGTTGTACCAGTTATTTCAAATATGACTAGTCACACAATAATATGAACAGAATGTGTTCTAAATCAGTAAACCTGTATGGTGGGTTTAGTCCTCTAATTCCTACAGCCATGGGTGTCAACTAAAGGATTTACTTGACACATTTTAAAAGTTAAAACATGACTGAAAAAACAAAAGGAAAAAACCCTCAAACAATGCATATGAAGTCTTCTGTCTCTCATAATAGAAAGCAAAACTAGACAGGAAACAAGCAAGGATACCGTCTTAAAAGAAAGCACAGCAACCTTTCAACTCAAGTACGATTCATGTGATATCTAAAAGGAAACTCATTAAAAATCTGCAGATTATACTTCTTCAGAGTGACTTGATCATTTACTCACTTTCTAATTGCCTCAGTTTTATTCCTATCTCAGCTAAGGCTGAGTTCTTTACGGCCAAGTACAAGCTGACATTGCTTTTGTATCAACAGTCACCTTTTGTGGAGCCCTGCTATCCACAGGCGATTCAAATCTATCATTGATTCCAAAGTATTGTGTTAGTTCTTTCCATTTTTCTTCACTTACCAACTGCTGACTACTAAAAACAACAACAAAAAAGTCATTAATATAATCAGTTGACTTTCCACAACTTGTAATATCCTTTTCAATATTAAAAGAAATTCTTCCATTTGGCAGACGTGCTCTTTTCACCCATTCACAGCTTTTAATGGAAGTGAAATTAATTATTCCTTCCCCTCTATAAGTGTAATTCCCCAATCTTGAAAGCAAGCTTACAGAATCATAGAATTACTTAGATTGGAAAATACCTTTAAGATCATCAAGTCCAACTATTAACCTAACACTGCCAAGGAAGAAAAAGAGGAGGAGGCAAGATGAACAGGAGCTTGTATGCAGTTACATGCAAAACATCATTAAATCCATTTTAAGTTACATTAAATAATACATTTGTGTTGATTTTTAAAATCAAGCAATAAACTCTATCAAACAATCACTGGTATCGTACTCAGCCTGCCCGACAGAGGCACTGAACAACTTCAGCAGATATTTTACACAATGGTCAAAGCTAGGCTTGGGCCATGCATGTGGTCAAGTATTTTTACAAGTTTTGCCCAATACTAAAAACAAACCTCAGGTAATTACATTGACCTGGTTATACCTCTTAGTCACTTCATTGTTCTTTTTCTGTTTTTCTAAGGGAGGGAAAAAAAAAAATCCAACATTACACAGTAATACCCTACAGCATCCAAAGAAGTTAACAGAACTCTAATTGGTCACATTTCCTTTGAAAGACTGACATGCTAGGATTTTTACCCAATGATCATGGGGATTTAAACCACTCAGCTGTAAGACTCGTCATATGAAGAACCTCCTACAATATCTGTGAAGAAGCTTTAACCAGAATATGCAAAAGTATGTTTTATGTAACTACTGAAATACACTGAGCCATTATAAATCAGTATCAAGTGAGTAAGTTCTTCCCCCTTTTTAAAAAGAGGAATGTATTACTTGAAGTAGCAATTTACAACCTAGTCCTACAAGTGATGTATACAACTGGAAAAATAAAATCCTAGATAATTGCTAGAATACATCTACTCAGGCATTCAATTCTTGGTTAAAAAACCAAAACATTAACCAAAACAGCCTCCCCCCCCCGCCCCAGCAAATCCCACTTCTAATGTATTTGACTCTAATTCCATTTTGAGAAAATAAATTCTGCAATTATATAAAACACCTTTTCTGCTGCGCTTTCTTTTTTGGCTTTTGTTTCCCTGATTTGCTTGGATTTTCATTTCACGGTTTTTCTTCTGAAGCTCCACAAATTTCTAAAAGATTAAGAAAAGACAAATCAGTATTTTTAAATTTTTTCTCATTTTTTAAAAAATTACATAGTGTGCTGAGAAATGTTGTCCCAATACTTTATGCATTCACATTATTCAGTACCTTGTTAGATCTATTACATTAAAATTTATGCATCAAGAACATCCAGCTCTGATGGGTGTTAAACTGGAACTGGCTCTAATCTTTCATCACCTCTCTCTGACTTTCTGCCTTCTCTAAATCCCAAGGCTATTCAAACCTGCCAGTTTTCTCATGGGACATGATGCTGAATAATACACTTACGCTGGTTGTGCACTCCTGAGCTATTCAATGTATCGTTAGTCCCTAGCTGGTAGTTTGCAATCCAAGTATTACTGACAGCACAGTCCTTGCACAGCAGGCTACCTACACAGATAGATGGACGGAGGAGAGTAACTAGTTTTTGCCAATTCTCATTTTGACTCAAAAGCCTAAAACACAGATCGCTTTGGTTTATTTTTCAGTCTTTACATGCAACAGGAAAATCAAGATGTTATAAGCGACTAAGAGTCGGAATATCTGCACCTAATGCCTCTACTTTGCAGAAATGCATCACTAATACAGGGGCTGAATATACTCAGCTGTAAATCCTTACTAACACAGACAGCAGTCACAAAGAAGCTCAGAGCCCATACACTACTGAAAACACAAGTCTCTATACAATTGTACAGTTACCCAAAGATCTCCCTGCTGTGCTTTCCATCACCACTGTGCTATGGAAAAAAAGAGAAGTTACATTCATTTCCTATTTAAAGTCCAATCCACCTTGCTTGAAACAATCTAAGGTATATTACAATGAGTGCATTTCAATCATATTTTATCTCATTTCACATTTATATATTGAATATTCCAGGATGAGTTATTTTAATTTAAGAATCAGCCATTCAACTTCGAGTATGTTGCATTTACACTCTGGACATTTGGAGGCTTGTAATGATACCCACATTCCACATATTTAAAGAAACTCCAGAAGGGCATGTTTGAGATTCATTTTCTCCATCCGTCACTGATAGCAAAAGGGGTTCACTGGTGGCATTACTTTCAGGTCCATTCTCCTGGAATTCAGAAAGCTGAACTTTTTCAGTATCTTCTTTCACATCTTCCTTTGAAAAAGAACCATGCGATTCATCTCCCTCATCAGAACTTAAGTCAACATCACTTTCATTCAGTCCTGAAGGTAATAGTCCACTCCACATCTTCTAGTTTAAAAAAGTCCAAGCCACTTCAAGTCACTGCAAAGACACCAAAGTGACAGAAGCTTACCCATTCCGAGATAAAAACATAATCAGCCTGCAGAATAAATAAGCAGAAATAGCAAAACACATAACCAGAAGTGTTTACATTTCTCTTGAGAAAAGTAACCATCATTAGACATTTTTGACAAGCACGTTATAAAGCTTCTAGTACTTACTATTTCAGAGAGAAGCTAGGTAGAGGACTTACGTACACAGGTTGAAGCTATTAGCTCTCTTTTTTTTCTCTCCCTTGTTTTGTCACTTCGCACTTGTTTCCAGCCGCTTTCAGCAAAGTGCGACGCTGCAGCGAAGGCTTCCGTCCCTCCCCCCGGGCAGCGGGGCCGCACACCCAGCCCTTCCGCGCCACCGCTTCTCAGCACAGCA